CCCCCTCCTCCCTTATATGTTGCCCCCCCCCCCCCCCCAGCTCCCCTCCCTCTGCACCAGCCCGGCTGGGAACTGCAGCCAGGAACGGGCACAAATTACAGGCAAACGCCGCCTTTCCAGCGAGCGGCCCAGATCCCGAGGAGTTTTATAAGGTAATCAAATATGCAAGAGATTCAACAAACTAATTTCAAGCACACACCTGGGGTCCTCTGATAACGTCAGTTGTGCCTCTACAGCGCAAGGATTAAAATTTCATAGAGTCATGATTTCATCAATCGCTAAACTACAAAGGATTAATTAACAGCCAGGGAAGAGCTCATGGCTTGGAAATACAGTCTTAAGGAAAATATCTATCTCCGCTCTCCAGATGTCAGCACACAGACGAATAAAGCGCTTTGATGAAAACACTTTCTTATTATTAGCGACTCCAAAATATCGTGGTTTTGCGGCTAGAATTAAGGATGCCCAATTCCAATCCGCAGCCGCCCGGCTCTGTGTGTCGTCGCCTGCCCTCTCGGAGGGCGTTTTAGGCCGCAGGCTCCCGGGACGCAACCGTTGGGTGCACGACCGGCTTTCGTGCCCGTATTTTGGGGATCGGCAGAGATGTCTCCCTCGGTCAGGGGACGGGAAGAATCGCAGGCGCTCCCCGGCCCCCCGCCAGCCGTGCTTGAAAAGTTTGGGAAAGACGCAAGGACGCCAACTTGCCAGAGCCAGTCCCCCCTTTAAGTACATATTCGCATACGCCGTGACACCCTCCCCGCCTTGGGACGAAGGCTAGCGACTGCCAAAATCTCCTCCTGCAAACCAGCAGACCCTACGTCCCTTCTTAGGGTGTTTCGCAGGTGCGGGGGCCAAGAGAGAACACTTTGCCTCCACGTAAAACCCTGCCAAGCACCGGGGCTGAACCTCTCAAACACAGGCGTCCGCTCGGCCCCGAAAACGCGCGGCGGCTGCAGCTTCCGCGGTGCGAGCAGAGAGCAGCAGCAGGTCCCCCTTCCTTCCCCGGGAAGATGAATTAGGGAGCTGTCAGCGAGGGACAGCCGCAGCGGGTGGGTTGCTGGGAAGGGG